CGGGAGGTTCCACCACCGTTCACGCGTCGCATTATTTCGGCGGCTTAGAGGGCAGCCGAGGGACGATACCACCTAGTGGTCTCTCCACAGAACAGCGACAGCAGTTCCAGATATTTCCTTAGCCTCCCAAATAACTTCTGTGCCTTTTGAATGGTGGCAAGTTGCGCGCGAAAGGTAGTTTCCTCGTCACCGGGCACAAATGATGGAGTTTTCCAAAAAGATGGAGTTTTCCAAAAAGTTTTGATGTCTCCGCACCGTTTTTTCTTTTGTCCTGCGTCCTGTATTTACCGTGTCATGCTCCCAGGAAGGAAACTCCCCACCTCCAAATTTTCTATCTAATCTCTAGCGCACAAGAGATAAGAATCCCAGCTACAGCTCTGCAAATTGTTGTTTCCGAGAAAAGTTGAAACCTGCGAAAGTTCCTCGTGGTTCAGTGTTAACAATGTGAGGTGAGAAAGCGTCCTCCAACGCTAATATGCATCACAGCTGAAATGAAACCGCGTCGAGAATAACGTTCTAATTGTAAAAAGCTAACTCTAGTCAGGTATGTGATCGCGTGTTAAGGGAGGGAGGTCGTATTCAGTGTTTTTATAGGTGGTCCTAGCGACAGGCCAGTTTTGCTAAACGCGATGCTTGACACTGCTTCAACATCTGATAAGCCACTAAGTGTAGGACCGGAATTTTTCGAAAAACTACAGTACCAGCTTCGTTGCAGGACCAGCTACCGTACTCTCGGCACACTATAGAGCATTTCCAACTGGCCTAATTTCGAGTGCGCCTTTCTTTGAATGTGGAGCAGTTGATAGACGTTTATTAGATTGTGAAGATGAAGTTTATCAACAAAGACGAAACCTTTAGTAGGTTTCAGTGCTGAATATATATGCTCACGCCATTTTCTACGAGACCAGCTAAAGAAATGTATATGGGCATTATCAAAAGTTTGAGCTTATTCACGATATGCGGGAAGGAATTCTGAACATTCCTGGATCCGAAGACATTTCTACAACTTCGATCATTTTTGATTGCTTTATTAAGTGACGATACATTCCTAGGCTAGGATACGTACTCGGTCGCTAATGGCGTTGAGCTGTTTATGTCCTGTTGCTTAGTATGGATCTAGATTAACCCCTGAAAAAATCAAATGGAAATGGGCGGGTAAATAACTTTGGCATATTGAACTGTTTCTACCACAGTCTACCGAAATCAGCCGGTTTTTTTACCGACTTTTTTCTACAAATCCAGATTTGGCAGAAAATCTGCTTACAGGGGTATTTCGACCTCCTGAACACGAATATCACATCCGCTTCGGCCGAAACTGCCTGGCGCCCGCGCCACAGGCGCCGGCGCCAAAGACACCCTAAATCACTAAAATCGATAAAACTTGTGTACGAGGGTTATTTGACATCCTGATTACGAATATGACATTTATTCTTGGCGCCGGCGCTAACGTAGGACACTATGGTCATCTGCGCTTTGCTAAGACTGAGCCTGGCCTGAAGGGAATCACTCCTTTTCCCAGGTTCAGCCTCAGCAGAACGCTAAGTGGCGCTGGTATGGAGAAATAAATGCCATACTGTGATCTGGGCATCAATGCAATCCTATTACCGAGTTTTTATCGATTTCGGGAAGAAAAGGTTTGAAACAAACAAAACAAACACACGCGTATAGCGCTAAATGGCGCCAGCGCCAGGAATGAATGTCATATTCGTGATCAGTACATCGGGTAACATCTGTAGACAACGTTCCGAAAAAATTTTTTTGAGTTGTTGTGGAAGGAATATTCCAATGGTGCCATTTACCTTTAAAGGAAGCGCCCGCGTTCAAATTTAATGAGTATGCGGCTCAGGTAGTAACAGCGAGGTAGCAAGAAGCCTATTAGTGAAGAAAAATCGAACAGAAAACACGCAAAATGCCCTAGAAGGAGTTTCATACCGAACAACGGTTGTACGTGCTTAAGGCGAAGAGAAGGAGTGATTGCACGAGTTTCCACTTGTTCATATCAGCTGTTTTCCCTTATCACCTCACTCTCACCACTCCACGTGGAGAGAAGCAGCAATGGAACAACCGCACCATCAGGCAACCATTAGAAATGAAGTTGGGTGGCGTGGTCGGCAGGTGGGCGGAGCCGTCGGCTCTTTGCGGGCGGACGCCGCTGTTCCGTCGCATTTTTGGGTTGCGAAACATGCACGTCCACCATCCTCATAGGGGGAGCTACTAGATCCAGAGAGGGCGTGAGAACAACAAATGAACGCGGGCGCTGTCTGAAATATCACGAGAAATCAAAGCAGGAACAGCAAAACATTCGCACAAGTCATCTATTGCTATTTCTTCACTCATGCTTGATAAAATAACAATGTGTCTTCCCTCAAGTTGATCTAAACCCTTCTAAAAGTTTCCTTCCGTGTAGCAAGTGGGAACGATATCGTAATGTTAGGCATATGTATAATGAACCCCACAAAAAGGCAGAAAGACTGTTCCAATCCGTATCATAATCGTCTTTTCGACAAAAGTATGCCACCCGTTCGCGCTGAATCCAAAATCCAGCGCATGTTTTAGGCCAGTTAAGGAGGCACACAATGTGCTACAAGAGTACGGTAGCTGGTCCTTGCAACGAAGCTAAGTCCCGTAGTTTTTTTTGGAAAATTCCGGTCCTACACTTAGTGGATTATCAACATCTGTGAGACATGAACGCAAAATTGAACCCAGTTGGAAAAAATCCTATATAAACTCACCAGTCGGATCACCCGGCTGCCGCCGGGTGCTCCTCCTTCTTTGTCACGGCCCGGCTTCGCCGGGCCGGCCTGGCTTCGCCAGGCACTCTTTCCTTAGGCGAGGTAGAGTGTGCAAAATACGCCTAACCGTCACAGTGCATTTTCCAGCAAAATGTATCCTTTTCTAAACCCTACATCGTATCTTGGAACCAACCTCCCACTGTTGCTGTGACTCGCATGATGGACTCAGTGACCATACCCTTCTAACATCTCGAATCTTATCAGCAGCTGACAGTTCTTGTCATCCACCAATAATGTTCCTGTCCCATACCCTAAATCATATGTTGGAATCAACACCTGGCTGATGCTATGACCCGCATTATATGGTGAGAATATGGTGAGAGTTCCATTCTGAGGCCTCTTATCAGATATTATCAACTGATATCAACTTCACTTCCTATCACCCACCAATAGTGTTCCCGTCACACCCTCTACGTCACTTCTTGGAACCAATATCTCGCTGCTACTGGGACCGGCGCTATGAATTTCGTGTCAAAGAGACAAACGCACGCGCACGGACATAGTCGATTATATATGGTAGAACTGTCCTTTTGTCCATTCTTTTCTCGGGATTGGTACCAAAAATCTCCATAACCATCACACGAAAATTCTGTAAGAGCAGGCTTCGAAGCATCCTACCGCTCAATGCGTCTCCACCACTGTAGGGGTTTTTTTTCTGGAGTGCACTCCCGCATTCGGCAGTCTTGCGCATAGAATGGTCCTCTCTCAGGTTGTTGATGAAAGATAGTCATAGTGATAAAGTTAGTTGCTGCAGTTCATGGCAACTGAGTAAACAACCGTCATGCATCTGAACTCCAGTTGCTTTAGCGGCCGTACATGATGTCGATAGCGGTAAGAGCATAGGAGTGAGTTGCGAACTACTGAGAGCCTGATACCTGAATCATATCAATCGCATTAGTAAGCGGTGCTGCGGATCATGATGACGCTTTCAACATTCATCAGTTGCTGTCACTTAGTGTCACCCGTCAGTGGGTTCCCGCCCTCCTCCCCCTATACCACTTCTTTGAACCAAGGTCCCACAGACCCTGCAACCTGCCCTACAAAGTTGGTGACCCTCCGCATCTAAGGCCCCTTATCGAATCTTATCAGATGTTATCAGCTTCTGTCACACACCAATCATGTCCACTTCCCTTACCCTATACCACATCTTGAAATCAAGGTCCCACGGTGCTGCAACTTGCCACGAATTCGGTCACCCTCCCCTTCTAAGGCCCCTTATCGAATCTTATCAGTGTTATCACCTCCTGTCACACCAAAGTGTCCACTTCCCTTCCCCTATACCACATCTTGGAAATCAAGCACGGTCGCTGCAACCTGCGCTAAAAATTTGGTGACAACTACGTCTAGGGTCCCTTATCGGATATTAGATGTTATCAGCTCCTGCCAGCCACCACTCTACCGTGTATATCACTCCTTGAAATCATGGTTCCGCAGCTGCTGCAACTCGCGCTACTATTTCGGTCACCCTCCCCTTCTGAGGCCCCTTATCGAATCTTATCAGATGTTGCCAGCTTCTGTCACACACCAATCATGTCCACTTCCCTTACCCTACCACATCTTGAAATCAAGGTCCCAGGTCGCTACAACCTGCGCTAAACATTTGGTGACACCCCCG